GTACGCATGCATTGACACCGTACAAGGTCATCTGAAAAGAGGCCTCTTGGAATATGCTGGATTCGACGACGTAGTTCATCGTCAGCGTTCGCGGTGAGGAAGGGAAAACTGATGAGCGAGCTGCTTTGAAGTGGGAGGCCTTAAAGCAGAGATCAGCAAAACATCAGGCAGAGATGATCACTACGATGAAAGTTGTGCGGGTTGCTGATTGTTGCTGAGCGTTGATCTATGGCGCCGGAGAGCCTCGCCAAAATAAACTTCGGGAGACCTCGGCCATCGGGTTGAAGGGGAGCAGATGGCTGGGTTGAAGAGTCAGAGGGCCGCGCACAAGTATTCCCACGGTTGGACTAGGTACTCTCGTCACACCAAGTGGGAATCCAAGAAAAGAGGATGTCGATGCATTCTTTGCGGTATCAGATGGATTCCACTGACAGATATACGATGTCCTGGATATTCATAGGCAACGAGGGGACGGGGACCGAGAGTCAGCGAAAAATCGTGGCTCAGGCTCCGGGAGAGAAGAAGTTCAAATGACGCGGCCGGTGGTGACTGAAACGAGCACAATTTGACATGCACATTGGTGGTCAGTGGGAGCGACCGGCGAACAGAAAGACGGAGCCGCAGGATGAAGGTGTGCGCTGGTAAGGTTGAATGAATTTGGCGTCCTGATAAGTAAGTAATTCCCGGTGTGATCTCGAATGTGAATGGATGATCAGCTTCAATTCTGACTCAGTTCCCTTTGGTGGGTAGAAGTGACTTGGGTTCATTGTTGTTGTTGAGGTCTATTTGCCGCGGGACGGGAGAAGGAACAGGGCCGAGATAGAGGGAGGGAGCGAGGTGGAATAAACTCTACGCGGAACCAAATCGCAGATGTCGGTACCGCAGGCGCCAGGGAAACATTGATGCGAACTATTCGAGTTTGGTTTTGGCCAGTATGTTCCATTCCATCCATTTCTCGCAAACAGCGCAGAGTCTGTACTTCATTCTGTCGAATTCAGTTCGTGGACTTCTAGCCATGGTTATGTTGAAAACGAACCGAGGATGGAACCAAACACCAAAACCTATCGCCCCGAGCCGAAACGGAGTAAGAGAGAGCATGGTAGAATCAGAGTGCCGGATGTACCGAGGAGGAGAAAGAGAGCGTTGCGCAGACGAAAGTCGTTCCACCCTATTCCACTCGGCCCAGTATGCCGTCTAACTCGATGTTGGAGGTGCATGCGAAGAGAAACCAGGCCGAGGAGGAGACGGAATGTCGTTCGTTTCCGCGAGCGTTCAGTTCGACTATGGCTGTTGATCGACATTCACTTGCTCTTTGAATGGCTCTGGCTTGACTTTGACACTCGCTGACTAGAATCAACTTTCCGCATTCGGCCGAAGCGAACAGAAGCCCGGCTCCTCGGTGCGGTTTGAGGCGAGAAGCACAGGCCTATTAGGTGTACATATCATTCCGCGACGATTTGAAGCTATTTGGGTGTTGGGGACAAGGAAGGATGGGGAACAGGAAGCAGCGGGTTAAGACAAAGGCCGAGCTCGCCGACACCGATTCAGATTGGCCGGCTTTGAACGCCGGGACTTGCATAATGGTTTGTTTCTCGAGTTGACAGACGGAGGAGAGTGTCAAGCGCCTCGTGGCCGACGAAAATTGAAGTCTTATTCGTTTGTGTGGAGAGAACAGGTCAAACCCGAGCGGCGTGCGCGTGTGTGCAATTTGTTGTGTAATAAATATCTTCGAAGCTCCGAGACATAAGGAAGGGTTAATTAATGTTTTCCTCTGCAAGTTGGTGGTTAGAATTTTGATTTCCAGTGGAGACCGGAGGCAGACGACGAGTTGAGCGGCTTTTGAAGTGGCCTATTCGGTTTGAGAACGGTGTGGAGCGGAGACCGGCCAAGTTCGTGTGGGTCAGAGTCCGAGATACGCAAGGTGGTGAGATGGAATTCACAGCGGAGAGTGCTTGAAGACCAAGGAAAATTTGAGGAAAATCGCGGAGTCCAATATTCGTTGCCACTCGTCTTCAGCTTTCCTCACCACCTTACCCAAAGCGGCGTCAGATCCTCCCGCGAAGCCCCAAAAGCGAGCTGGACAGTGGACGTCGAAGCCAAGAGACGACATCAATCAAAGCCACGACACGACCAAACAAACGCGTCTTCCTCTTTGCTTCCATGTCAATTTTTTCATTTCATTTGCTGAATTACCTTACTCACAGAAGGCTTCTCTTGTTGACTGACTGACGGCTGCTGCGTTATAAGAACGCGCAAGCAGAGCGTGGTTCCAGTTTCCTCTTTCTTCCTGCTCATCCTCACCTTCCGTTTAGTTCTGCGCACCATGTACCCCTCCCCAGAGGTAAATTATAACACCAATCCTAGTAATAGCACTAGACGGCCCCGCCGGCAACGCTCCTTCTCCCTCGCCGAATTCCGCGCACTCGTCTCTGCGGCGCTTGACCCAGACTCCGAGGACTCGGCCGCGTTGTTGTTTTCCTTTTCCTCATCTGCTTCCCCGGCGTCTACACCTACACCTACTTCGACGTTGGCATCGTCCTCGGCACTGAGCACCCCGACCGCAATTCGCACCCTCGAGCGAAAGAAATCGGCGCTCCCCCTGCAGCCCACGCACACGCAGTCCCGCGTCCGGCTCCTCCTCGCAAAGCTCAAGAAACGCGCCGCCGCACTCGTTCGTCGTCGGCGCGGGTCACACTCCTCTTCTTTGCATAGACCCAGCGTGCGCTCGGTCCACGTCCAGATCCAAACCGCTGCCGAGGAGACCGAGCTACTCTTCGAGCCCTACCTCCCCCTCGCCGCGCAGCACGAACACGCTCTCCACGATTCCGGCCGCGCGTACCCGTTTTTGCTGCCGGCCACGCCACGCATCTCCCTTGCGCGCGCTTCGTTCGCCTCTCCCTCGTCGGAGGAATCATACTACCCCTTCTCCGCACACACCACTCAATCGGAGGAATCGCACGTGCCGCCCTCGCCCACCACGTCCACTTTCTCATCCTCTTCTGCCTCTTCCTCTGCAGGTGGGTGTTCTTCCCCTTCCTACGACCACGCACACTCGTACTCGGGCTGCACCAACGCTGGGTCGGAGCCTCAGCGCCCATGGTCCGTAGCGACGTACGATTCCGGACTCGCTTCACCTTTCGCACCCGCCGACGGACTTGGGCCGGGCATCGAGGCGGAAGCAGATCCCTTTGCCAAAGGCGCAGTCCGCGTCGTCCATCGGTCCTGCGAGGCACTCCCGCATCCAACGGTGCTTGGGTCGGGGTATTGGCTGCGCGGGAGCGGGGGCTACAACGCGGGAGGGGGTGGAACGAGGCGGGCGAAGCGGGGGAGGGAGAAGCGCGTGCGGAGGGATTTGGAGCTGGCGTTGGCGGAGGGCGGAGTAGCGGTGCAGGTGGAGCAGGAGGGGAAGCAGCAGTCGTCCCCGCCCTCCTCATTCCCATCTTCTTCCTCTTCGCACCTACCGGCACCGACTTCCGCGACCCAACAGCTGTCTTTATCCCGCGCACATACCACACCTGCCACAGCCACTCCGCGCACTCGTACACTGCGCCGCACGACGCGTACCCGTCCAGGCTCGCCGTTCCCTTTGACTCGGGGGCTAACCTGCTGATTCGGTCGTCTTCAACACATTCTCGTTCGCTCGCTGCTTGTTGCGTCGACAGAAATCCGCTCATTCTCGTTCATTGCTTACAAACTCACTCGTTGCTAGAAACTAAATTGGAAGCCCAACTCATCTTGTACTTCTTGCCACTCTCCTTCCCCTCGCTCGCTCGCTCATTAGACCTGCTGCAATTTGCAAATGTCTTTTTTTGTTCCACCGCTCCTTCCGTTGTACTCGCCCTTCCTGCTCTCTCGCACTCGTTCCTTGTTGTACCACGACCCTCCTTACACTTGTACTAATTCCCTTATCTTAGAAGTAACCCTACTTTTATCCTAGCTACCCACCCCTCCCATGCGTAGATATTATCGTAGTAGATTTTGTGCGCGGGGTAATCGTAATTCTGACGTTGCTCAAATGGTGCAATTGAATTCCTCATCGATCCCGAAGCTTGCGTTTAAAGAACCAAAGCGGGGGGACGCGTCTAAGCATTTGGCCGTGCTTGGTCGGAACTGCGACGCGTTTGGGCACGTGCTGAGTGTGATTTCTCTTCGGTTGAGTTCCAGTTGAGTTCCAGTTGAGTTCCAGTTGAGTTCCAGCGTCTTCATTCGGGAGGTTTTGAAAGTCTACTGTCGCGCCAACTCAAGTAATGCGTTACGCTGGGAAAATTTCAGGCACTTAGGCTGGATCAATCACTATGTAAGCCTTTGGAATCTCATTATCTGGTGGAGTTTGAGATGAATATAATGGGTATCGATGCATGTGCATTGATAATTGCTGACTCCATTCTTATTTTGTGGTTAAGTTTTGAAACGAGGATGGTAAACAGATTGACGCATCCGCGTTGGCTTCCCGGTCGGATCCTTTCTCATTCAAGTGTTTCTGGCTGAATTAGAGACTGGGCGTCATGGTGGGCATATATCTCGCAATGTATGAGCTGTGTGAAATGAAGCCATTCGCTCAACGAATCAGGGATTTGGGGGTGTACCCTCGTCGCCCATGACCAGCTTTCGCAACATCGCGTCAGAAAGCGCAAAAATTCAGTGGAATACACGTGGTGAAATAGGGGGAAGAATGTTTGCAGTGCTGGTAGCAAGAAGTCCGAGTCGGGTAAGAAGCGGCGCGTGAGGCGAAATAATCATTGATGCGCAAGTTGAACATCCATGCTAAGTTCCCACGGTTCAACAGTTTATGATGGTATACACCAGGCATCTTCCAGGACAAGCTCTAATCTTCTCAGCCAGGGCGGTCTCTAGAACTGTAACAGACCATTGAAGTCGCCTCCCCAAAAAATAAAATTGTCTAGCGTGTGATTCTTCCAGCCCAAGTTACCCGACGACCCATCGATGCCATCGATGGGCGCAGTGGTTCCCGAAGCTGATTGCAAAACTTCAAAAAGACCTGGAGACATTGATAATTGAACTCAAGACCTCCTGCAGCGTCCGCTCGATGCTAAGCAGGCGTGATAACCATCTACACCATGTGCCCGACGAACAAGTTCAAACAACTCGATATTAATTGCACGAGTGTCCACCCTACCTGGACCCTTGCTATTTGCGCTGGGTCGATAAGCGGACCAAGTCAGTGGCTCCTGTCTGCGATGTTCAGGCGGAGGACTTTCCCCTTTCTCTTTGGTCGCATAAATTTTGGTATGATTGGAGTCGATCGGCTTTCCGCTTTATGTATTATCGACAGTATCGACCTCAAGTTGAACGGGGTGGCATCTTAGCGAAAAAAATTCAACGGGAGCACTTGAAGCTCCCATTGAAGCTCATTTGAGGTCCCTGATCAGTAGTAGTTATGCTTCCGTATTAATCAACTGACGCACGCAAGTGCTTGTTAGAATGTGCTTACAGTACACAGACCCTAATGTCGACTCTAGGTTATCGTAAATCTAGCAGTCAGTTAGGACCGACGAACTCCTGCACCCACAGTTCTGGGGCATCAAGGAAATCAAACGGCTAGAAGGGGTCCATGTACAGTTTAGGCAAGGGGCCCTCGTCAATTAATTGTCAGTGGAAGCCCCCGCCCATATGTTCCCGATACTTAAAATTTATTTCTGCAGAACATAGCACCGACCATGATGATTGTTCGCGTGGGACTGGGACATGATATTCAAGACACCATTCAAAGTCTGCATGCGAATACTCCCCGGCCGCCGGCTCCGAGTCGTGTCCCAGGACTAATTCCACCGCTTCAACCTCCAACTCTGCAGGTGCTTCACATAAAGCCGAGGGAGGATGACGACCTCTGGGCGAAGACAGAAATATAAAGCACAGGGCACAGGTTGAATAATGAACCCTCGAATGCGCAGCTCTCAAATTGTGCAGTGAGATGCAGTGAGATCTGTAGGTGGCTCCTGGTCCAGCTCATGTGGGATTCGTTGGGCACATCTCAAGGCGGATGGAAGGGACCGAGATCTGACATGTATGGTGAACACACCGAAACATCACCATTAGGAGGCCAACTTAAATGTATTAAAACAAGAAATCAGCTTCGAGGGTTCATTATTCAACCTGTGCCCTGTGCTTTATATTTCTGTCTTCGCCCAGAGGTCGTCATCCTCCCTCGGCTTTATGTGAAGCACCTGCAGAGTTGGAGGTTGAAGCGGTGGAATTAGTCCTGGGACACGACTCGGAGCCGGCGGCCGGGGAGTATTCGCATGCAGACTTTGAATGGTGTCTTGAATATCATGTCCCAGTCCCACGCGAACAATCATCATGGTCGGTGCTATGTTCTGCAGAAATAAATTTTAAGTATCGGGAACATATGGGCGGGGGCTTCCACTGACAATTAATTGTATTGTAATGCTTTCGAGCAAGCCGAAAAATATCCCCCGGTCTGGCGTAATAGCAAGGAGTATCATCAGAATGAGGTAGAGCGCTCCGGATTCGAGGCTGGACATTCAAGATGAGATACAGCGAGAACCCCGTGAACTTGGTGAGAGACGGACATCATTGCAATGATCATATCGTAATGGCTCAGTAACTGCCGAGTCGTGTGGAGGTGCAACGCCTTACGACGAATCCACCATATTTTTCCAGCTGTGGCTCATAAGGCGCAAAAAAAGGGAGAATTAGAACAAAGAAAGTACCGGTGAGAGTTACCAGACCAGGTTGGTTGCTGCGGCAAGTACAGATGGCACATGTGACAATGAGATACAGCGCCCCAGACTCGAGTCTGCATAATACAGCGGTGGGAGAGGTTGATCGGAAACATAGAGAACACATACATCATCGCAATGGCCGTATTGTAACGATTTAGCGCTGTGCCTCCGCTGAAAAGACGCAATGCATCGCGACGGATCGACCAAATTCTGCCAGCTGTGCTTGTGAATATTACAGGCAAGGACAATCGGGGATGAAGTATTTACCAGTGAGAGCCAACAGAACTACATCAGCAAATCGGCACAACGCGGATGTGACCGGGTGGGAATGTTGATCGCAAGTCAGCCTGATCTCGGCAGATCCGGGCTCACCAGCCGCTACCAGCACAATACCAGACGATCGTTCACTGACCATTCATTCACCAAGCTTTGAGAGCCTCACACTTCCAGATCAGTATGCTAAACTATGGCAGGGTCCTAGTAGGCGCTCACAAGTAAGTACTCTTCTCGTATCAATCCGCGCAAAATCCGCGCGCACATACCAATTCTTGCTTATCTTTGCAGTGCAAGAGTCGGGATCACGGCTTGCAAGGTGGTAAGGTTAAGGCTCGTCTCTCCGGGTCTTCGGGTTGCGTTGCTTGGCCTCTTCACCTGCCTTGTCGACATGTAGAATTTATTTGATTTCGCAATCCCTTAGTTAACTAGACGGGACCCAAACTTTCGAGTCACCTCTTCCTCCGGATCCACTGCCTTCCCTCCGATATCGTACTACTTACTTGAAGATCGTCTTGATCACATTGACGAGGCGGCCAAAAATCAGCCGGTGCTGGTCTGTGCGCATCAAAGATAGGACACGTGCATGTTGGTAGCAATTGATGGGCGACTTGTGCTCTCTCTTCCCTTCTCCCATGTCCCCGCCGCTCTCTCTCCTTTCCTCCCTTCCTCCTTCCACCGCTATTCTCCTTCTATGTCCTCGACTTTGTGAAAGTTGACGTTCCTCCCGCGCACGACCCTCAAGCCTCCCTCAACACTTCAAGCAACTGGCCGGGTTCATCGTCAAAGCGACTCAAGCCTACAGTGCGACCAGAATACTGAGCTACAAGATCTCTTCACGCCGCAAGTCCTTTCAAGGTTGACGCCGCAAGTCCTCGCAAGATTGACGCCGCAAGTCCTCTCAAGATTGATGCCGCAAGTCCGCTCAAGATTGTAAGCCACCTCAAGCCGGCAAGCTTTATCCTATCCAGCTGGCCCGTACCGTCGCCACCATACGTTTCCATTACATCGCCGACGATATCTCTCCCTCACCGCGGTGTTTCCGCTATCTGCTGTGCCTTGAAGGAGAGCGATCTGAATTGGTGAGTGGACCATCGCCCCACCTCTTCCCATTGCCCTTCTCTATACCACCTTTCCCTCCCTGCACATAGTTGTATCCTGTGCAATGTAATAGTGTACTCCAAATCGATATATTGTTCCTTTATTTCGTGTTTATTGGCTTCGTCAGAACATCCAAGTGCGAGTGATAGCTGGCAATGGGCGCCGAGGGCAGTGAAAACCGCCCGACCTGACGGAAGTCGTCAGCGCTCACCCGCTCGGGCGAAAGGTTTGAGCGGTAATGAGCGGGTAATAAGGCCGTACCAGGCGTATACCAGCTGGTATCATCCTGGTGATGGCTGGCACCGCGGAGATCAAATTCTACGCGCTGATCTTTACTGATCAGTGTTGCGCTGATTTGCTGATGTAGGTTGGTGACTGCAGCTAGGAGGAACGGAACGCGCGCAACTTCTCCGAGGCCATCATTAAAGCCGTACCAAACGCATCCTTCAACTGCACCGGTGATCGGTCAGCTACGAGGAGCCAAGAGCAGGAGAAAGATGCTCACCGCAAGTGGCCACAATTAGAATGCCAGGCAGAACCACCGGCGGCCATCGTGACCCCCATATCATGAAGCAGCGATACAACTAGAGCATGCCCCGTCAGTCATAGCGCACTATTACCATGAGTTTGCTCACCAAAAGAGAATCTGACACCAAGCTAGAATTTTAATTAAGATTTAACGAAGGAAAACCACATTGATTTCCCCACTTGTTGAGCCAAAAGATAACGGATTGCACAATGTTCAATGTGCGAGAAGCAGTAGACAGCTGATATGGTATTCCCCCTTGAACATCGACTTGCACCGTACGGACTGCCACTACAACCTCTATCACACCGATAACAACTTGTGTTGTTCCAAAGAGAGCCATGACAACAGTGTGGATGAGTAAGACCTTCTTCCCTGCAGTTCTTCGACGAGCGAGGATGTACATGGCGAGAACAAAGAGGACGACATGTATTCCTTGAGGTGCATGGTGAATGAAGTCTCTGAAGGCTACTCAATCACTCACCATAAAATAAAAGTTCTGTCTGTATGAATTTCAGTCGGCGCATTATGTTACTGGAAACCGACATACACATGCCGTCGTGACTTCGGTGACTAATGCGGAGCAGTCCCAGTTGAATAAACCGGCGTCGACGACGTAAGACATAGTTCACAGTGGATGATAATGATGTGGGGAGAGCAAATGATCAGTCTCCGACCCGGGGGTTCTTAAGGCGGGGGGAGACTAAAAACAACCCAGCGAGATGGATATTGCAAGAGCACCGAGGCATATAAAGCTCCATAGCACCGTGGAGCTCGGGATGCTCAAAGATGCCCAGAAGCACAGATCGCCTGGCCAATCCAGTGAGGGGCCGTGCTTCGTGCTCAGGTAGCCTTTCTGAAGGTGGCGTCTTCTACTATTTATCATGTCAGAAAACTTGTTGTCAGTCACTATCTACGGGACGTGGAGTCAAAATACGTTGGAGCTGAGGTTCAATTGCTCATTGGAACATAGGGCAACACGGGCTATAATTGTGTCACTCATCGAGCGCGAGGCGTGATGTGGCCGCTTGCAGTTTTCCTCAAGTTTTCCTTCATACTGCCTTAATTTTTGTTGAGCTTCCTGGTTATCGACTACCAATGCGGACCCGATTGAAGGTTGAGTTCGATGAACTCGCAGCAACTTCAGAACTCACGAGAGCAAGCATTGTACATTTCTTACACCTCGATGTCCTATTTTGATCGAAATCCTGGGCTACAACAGTTCATACAATGCTCTTCTGTTCTCCCTTCTCTCCCACGCCCGGTTTAATATCGAGTTCCCGCGAGCCTGGACCTTTCGACCGTGAAGCTGGCGATTTTGCAGCCACTAGCTGGCCGGTGTGCTTATCCGTTTGCCGCTCAACTGTATCTTGAATACTACGGCCCAGCCCTACGCGTACGATGATTAACGTTGGGATGATGTTCTGGGTACAGGTTAGCAACTGGACAGATAGAGCTAATGGACCCACGATGAGGTACGCTCCCAGTCCTTCCAGCACATGGAAAGGAATATTCCATTGATACACAATGACGGTGAGTATCGCGGGAATAAAGTAAAGTGCTCCGGATTCGAGTCTGGCAAATCATGTGAGTGGTGGAGGTACGCTTACACCAAAATCTCATACACGATAGCAAAAACTGTGGTGTAACGATTGAGCAATGCCGTGTCAGCGGCAACGCGCATTGCGTCGCGTCGGATCCACCATATTCGACCGGCTGCGGTCGGTGAGCAGTGGAAAGAACGATGTGGTTATTACTGGTACCTGTGAGAATCATCAAACACAGATTCGTCGCAGTGGCCAATATGACCGTTGCTTTCTGGCTAACTTGCGGCGAAATCGCAACGAACCCGGTGACTGAAGGAAAGTTATTTCCAAAGTGGGACACTGACTGCGGCTACGCACCAAAAGTCGCCAAGATGAGAATTGCTGGCATCATAACCACCATTCGCCGTGAGCCCCATATAACGTAGCAGCGATACAACTGGTGGAATACGGTCAGCTCAATTCTGCATGGCGAGGAGACACTGAACGAATAGAGTGTCAGTTACGAAGCTGATTTTTTGTTTAGCGGATCAGTTTGGCAAGTCATCGAACTCAGCGCACTTGTTGAGTACAAGAACGGCCTCATGTGCTACGATCAATGATTCATATATCTGGGGTGGGGACGCAGGAACGGTTATTCCTGATTCCATGTGCTCTGCCACAAACCCAATTTCCACCGCAGTTTTGAAAAGACGTAGAACGATTTGTGTCGTGGACAAAAAGACCATCGCCCATGTCGACGCTAAGAGAATGTTGTTTCCTTCCGTTGTGCGACGGCGGAGGGTGTGTATTGCAAGAATGAAGAGATTGAGATAGATTCCTTGAGTCCCTGGTCGGCCCTGAGACCCTCAAGGGTGGTGGAGAGTACGCACCGTAAGAGAAAACCTGCACCTGAGAAAGCTGTCCAGCCACGGGAGCTGACATCTTTTATGAGCAGGTTGCAGAAATTTCCCCCACAAGCCAGTTGCGATCGAAGACAGTGATGGGGAAGTCGGGAGTGTAGCTCATCGTTCAGAGCTCCGCTAGGGTGGGGGGAAATGGAAAAGAACAAATGATTGAGACCGAAATTCTGTGGTGCAGATAAGTTGAAAGCGGCGCGCTGAGTGATCATCATCCTATGCTGTGAAGATTTGCACCGCTGGCAGCTCTGCCGATATCATGGAAGTACGGAATGATCATCGGGGCTCCTGCTGACTATATCTAGGGCAGTTAGGAAGGAAGTGATGATAAGTTGAGATCCGAAACAAGAATTCATCACATCAGACGTGAATAGCCATATATAATTTTGTTCACCACCAATAGCTGACGCTGGCAATAGATGACCGTCACCACGTCAGTAAGCAATCAAAGAGCAGTTTGCGGTCACGGGGGGAATCTATTTCATCTGTTGGACGAGTCTTGTTCAACCGTGGGAACAAACAAACTGGTCCTGGATTCAGTCCTTAATCGGCGAAGCATCAATTCAACTCCAACTCATCAATGGGACGGCTTATGGCGGTGAACTCCCCCTATTTTGTGCTCGCCCGCATTCCTGAGGGCCATCCACTGACTTTGACCCGGGCAGCGCCTCGGTGAACTTTGTACGGAACCGAAGTTTCGTCGTAGTGCTGTCCGAATATTAATGTACTTACCCGCATATATTACCTTGGTAAAGCATCCAATTATCTTTTGAGGGCCGGAAACAACTCACTGACCTCATTTTGACCATTGAAATTTCCAGAGAACATCAGCAAATACTGATTCACCCACCGATTTTCGAGTAAGCACCGAAGTATTATGAAAGAAAGGACACTCACGGCATATGCAGGTGAAATCTTGATTTTCAGCCCCCAAATTTGACTTTGGGAGTCACGCGTTGAGCCCGGGCCCAAGCCCAGGGTCGCGAGCCCTCAAAAATTCTGAGCCCGGGCTCAGGGTCGGGCTCGGGCCTAAGCCCTGACCTGGAATATCACTATTTGACATCTTAAGTTCGACGATTGTATATCCAAAGTTATGTTGAGGGCCTTGAGCTCCTTTGCAAATGAAATTCAAGTTGTACCAAAGGTAAGGATACACGGGCTGCAGACTGAATCTCATTACTCAACGCTCCAAATAAGTTATATACACGGGCTATTCTATGCGCTACGTTATCATAGTCAAACTCAAGTGCTAAAACTTAAGTACCGCTGGCGATAAAATTACCTTAGAACTTAAGAAAAGCTAATAAATTTGAACAAGCGAAGACGCGAGTATTTGGGATGGGGAATACACACGTCTGACAAACGAGCAGTCATTCAGCGATTTAAATAATGGTATTTACACGATTTAAGTGCAACATGCGCGTTTCGGGTAATCTCATGAAGCCTATGCAATGCGAGCCGCGTCATATTCTTCATCGCCACCTGGCTTGATATGGAGCACGGGCAACTCAGAAGCCAAAGGAAGTCTCACCGCGAGGCGAGTACTGGTTCCCTTGTTGGCCTGACTCTCAATAGTCCCTTCGATGCTATATCCCAGTCCCACACGGACAATGATCAACGCCGGTCCGATGTTCTGTGAAGCAGGATGTCGAGATTGGTCTCAGAGATTCGAAAATGGCGGCACTCACAATGAGGTGCGTTGCAATGCCATCTAGGATGAAAAAGATTTCTTGCTGGGGCTCGATTATTGCCAGCACTATTGCGAACATGCAATACATTGCTCCAGACTCCAGTCTGGCAAAAATCCGGTGAGTGGACTATCTCTCTATCAGATCATACATACACCATTGCGGTCGTCCTCTTGTAGTGATGCTGCAGCATGTTTCCGGCACTAATGTGGACTGCGTCGCGCCAGATCCACCATATCCGTCCAGCTGGGGGTCGTCCATCAGCGGATGCACCAAAATGTACAGCGATTCAACGACCTATGAGAATCATCAAACAGAAGTTTGTGGCTGTAGCCAATAAATATTGAAGTCTGGCGTTGATGTATGGTACGGCCGTGGTAACACATGCCATGACTGAAACAAAAATATTATATTGGCTTTCGCAGCCAAACACTAACGTACCCATGGTGGATACGAGGAGAGTCCCGGGTACCACGAGTATTCTCGTTTGGTATCCCCAAATCACGTAGCACCGATACAGCTAACATATCGGTTAGGTCGCTCACCACAATCTGGGAAGTAAAAGACAGAACCAATAGAGAATCCCACACGAGGCTGTTAAATGAGATTAGTTCAGAGTGGAAATAGGAGCGGACAGGTCGAATAACTTGTTAGCCGCAAAAAGTAAGTCGTGCGCCTCCTGCAATGAATTTGACGTGGCGGCCAGCCTCAAGAGAGACGCGGGAGGTGGTTGCACTGCGTCGTGCACAATTTGGTCGTTCAAGAAATGAATATCCACGGCTGTCTTGATGATACAGAGGACGATTTGGGTCGTCTCTAAGATGGCCATTGACCAGTTCGCCAGCGGGATGATTTTTCCGGACTTTCTTCGGCGGCCAAGAGCATATAGGGAGAAGAAGAACAAGTTGATATAAATGCCTTATACTGAGATTAGCCTTCGAAGCCGATGGATGAAGATATTGCCAACCATAAAGGAAAACCTCTGCCTGTGACAACTGTTATCCTGGATACGATTTATTTTGCTGTGTGCCACGTACGCAAGCTGAGATGATTTTCAATACCATCCAACGCCAGTTGTAATCGAATAGCGCGGAATCCACAACATATTGCATTTGCGAGGGTCCTAAGGAGGTGTGAGGGACTAAGGAGGAATAATTAGCGGGCGTGGGGCTATTTAAATGAGGATCTCAACAGAGCGCTCTAAAGATGCGTCGAAGGGATGATGACTATCACCTAAAAGATAACTTGAAATACAGTTCCGTAGAACGACCTGCATCTCTAGGCCCTAGGGCGGCCTACTGACGACTCGAAGAAGGTGAATGCACGGGACTCGAGATTACTAGTAGGAAAAACGTCTAAACCACAAATCGTGGCTCACTGCATCTGCCTCAACTTGACGACATGAAGAGATGATCAGGGAGACGTCAGCTTGAAATAAACCCTAGGTTAGAGAGCTTATGATGAACCTGAAGCTGTGTGTGATTATTTGTAAGGCGAAGTTATGGCCGGCAGCCCGAACGAATCGCGGTCGGCAATGTGATGGTCAAAACCGAATATTTCCGCGGGTTGCGATCGAATACAGTGATGGAAAAGTGAGGACTGTAGCTCATCGTGCCGAGCGAACTCCCGCTCCACCAGGGTGGGGGACAAGGGAAAGGAACAACCGATGCGACTGAGACGGAAACTCCAAGAACTATATACATCGGACATAGACTGGTTACGAGTCTACATCGGACAGTGGCACAGACAAGTACCACGGATCATAATGCCTGTAGGCTGTGTAGATTGACCGGCTCTGATGTACGCACGAAAATATCAGGGCAATCATCCATCACTCCGGGAGACAAGTTTTGTCAGAGAGCGAATATTAATAGTGACGCCACACAGTCGGTAAACTCAACGAGCAGTTTGCGGTCCCAGGGGGAGCCTATTTCATCTTTTCGACGAGAGGTTGCGCCGCTGTTGAACCGTGGGAAAGAAAATAAACGACTCGGTCCTTGATCGGCGACGCATCACTCATCAATGGGACGGAGACGGATGTGGCGGTGAACTCCCCCTATTTGGTGCTCGAGGGCCATCCACTGATTGAGACCCGGGCAGCGCCTCGGTGAAATACGGTACCGAAGTTTCGTCGAAGCGTAGTCTGTCAACGCCCTTACCGCCTCTTCTCAATTCTGCTCCCTGTCCTGATACCTATCCGACTCATCTTTCACAACGCCCATTTGGCCAAATGGTAAGGCGTCGCACTCGTATAATAAGGTGAAATGCGAAGATCAGCTGTTCGATTCAGCTAATGGGCATCTCCTTTTGCACCTTTACATCAGATCGATTTTTTTTTTTTTTTTGTGGCCTGTGCATAAGACAGAAGCTTCTTGCCGGCTATTTTACTGTGAAGTCCCACTCGGCGCGTGCTAGCGATTTCAACACGTCCGGGATAATGGAGGTAATTACTTGAGCCGTGGGAATCTCAACGTAGGCTAAGCTGGTAAGGCGTCGCACTCGTACATTTGTCTGAAACGTGAAGATCAGTTAATGGGCATTTCCTTTTGCTCTTTTCCTGTTTTTTTTTTTCCAAAACACCGCAACCTATTGCCCGGTGATACGGCATCCGGTCTGAGGAGGCGTGCTGTTTTCAAACGGCAGAGCGCCCAGGCATAGCATCAGTTAGCCTGTGCATGATTACTCTCTGGGAGATGTCGCAAAAGTGCATCCAGATAAATTACTCTGAACGGGCCGAGCATGCCTATATCTGATGGCCGTCAATCGATTACGATGATTTGATCCTGGTTCAATGCTGGTTCAACGCCACCATAGAATGCCAGTGCTGGGGAGGTCATTGGAAGTCACCCCCTCCAGCTTATGTGCCCAAGCTCTCGTTGCAGCTAAAACTCCCTGAGTCAGTCGCGTTGTGCGGTCCCACCGGTTCAGACAAGGCTTTTTCGCGATTGGGTGGCCCGGGGATGTACACACAAGCGCCCACTTGAACAGCCTAGTTAGACATCGAAGTGATACAAAGCTTCTGTGCGTACACACAAAGTCAACAATGCCCTTGCCCACCAGTAAACATTTTCTCTCATTCTTGGTACTGGTGCTGGAGGAAAGACACCAACAAGCTGTCTTCAAATCCCGCAAAGATCGTTCAAGTCCGTGGAAGGTTGCGACGTTTAACGATCTCACTCGTCATGTCGGGTGGTCCTCCGCCCACTGGCAGCAAACTTTAACGGCCGCAGGGCTTGTCCAGAAAGACATCGTTGGGCTTTGGTAAGTTCCTCTATGGATATGTGATCACTGCTGATCATTGCATCCAGGCTTACTGGCCGAAAGTACGACGACGTGGTGAACATCATGGCTGTGTCGGCGGCGGGGTTTGTTCCTCAGCTTTTCAGTGTTGTATTTCCGAATCCAGAGGTCATCTGGGACTTGCTCTCTGCCAGTGGGGCTAAAGCCTTAATCTTTGACACCCAGTTCTCCGCCCAATCCGCGTCGGCACCAGTGCCAGTTTCCCAGCTGCGATTTTGGCTGACTTCGATTCTGAAAACAGTCCAAGAATTAACATTGCCCCCGCAGCCGCAGAGGACAATGCCCTTATTGTCCATTGCTCAGGAACAACCTCCGGCTCTCCCTGGCTAATTCTTCTCCATCACGCCTGGGTGTTCGCAATGATGGATTTCAAATTCACGGGCGCCTTGAAGCTTGGTGAATTTGAGGGCACCGATGTAACGAACACGATCAGAAGTTTAGCACATGTTGGGTCATTTATGGGCAAGTTTTTTCCCATGCTGCCTTACACGAGTATAATTCTTTGTTCAGCATTTGTGTCTGCCGTCTACGCTGGATTTACGACCGTACAGACGTCGTCGATGGGCATGCCTACAGATGAACTAATCGAGCTGACCAACACTTGTGGCCTGAACTGTGTAGCGATGTATGCTCCGTTCTTGTCAGTCCACATCAAAGCCACGCAGGGAAACCCCACTGTGCTGTCTGCCCTTCGAAATTGCCATCAAATTCTACACACAGGTGTTTCTCTTAATGCGGAAGATGAGAACTGGGCATACGACCATGGCCTCCCAATAACGGTGGGATATTTGTCTAATCAACCTCCTAGAGATGTGTTCTGATATTCACTCAGTCCATGTACGGAACTTCTGAAACAGGTGAACTCACTCAACTTCAGAACAAATACGATACTGACGGTCGATCAGCACCGCTGATGACCTCCGTCCTGGGTCGCAATCCAGTGGACCGCCTCCTGCGCTTTATACCGGGGTGCTCGGCTAAAATGGTTGAATATATTTCGAGGGACGACGGCACCGGGGTCGATGCAGCACGGTTGTGGGAAGTAGTGTTGCCTCCCGGCCAAAATGACAGCCCTCATCCCTCGTTGTTTGGGGAAGACAATCTATACCACACTGGCGATATTTTCGAAGAAGTACAGACCGGACTCTATGCGTTGAAACGGGCAAGATGCGCTAACAGTGAAAATGGGCTAACTAAGCTCTGAATGCGGGCTAGCTGAACACTAACACACCACACACAAAACCTAACACAACACCAAATCCCCTACTTATACTTCACTAAGACTAAGCGCGTCTTCCTCAGTGAGTTCGGGTCCGAGCCGTAGTATGCGACTACTGGTTTGGATTCCTAGCACAACGAGAATTGAATTATGGCCTCAACTATCCCAACTAAACAAACACCACACTCTCGGCTAGCTACCCTTGACGTTCCGAAACAAGACTTCCCAAGGTTGGGATGTACAGGTTTGGGGGTGATAAGGATGTTTACTAGGCGGACGTACAAAAGTACAGTCGTCCTAGGCGAGGTAAATGAAGTGTCTATCTGAAAACTCCCAATAATGGGCTAAGCTGCTTCTCCTGCACTTCCTCTATGGCTTGGCTAGCTGAATGCTGCTAACGGCCGACTTAGACTCCTCTGAATCCAAGCTCTTTTCTGTTACACTTGGGCTTATTAAGGACCCGGAGTATTCTCTTAGCTCAACTAGTCGGTCAATGAATCAACTGGCAGTTCTACCAAAGTGCTGTGCCGGGCGTGGTCCGTTTTACGGGAGGCGTTTCCTGGTCACCCAATGCGTAGCTACCACTGAAGTCCACCACAAAGCTAGCCGCAACTCTCAAACTTAAACTCTCGTGCTCTCGGTCCTGATTTATACGTGGAGAGTGGCGCTGCTCACAACCTCCCAACGCGAAGCTTCGACTTATTGGTTCACACAGTTACTTCTGGATCCAACAAACAACGCTGCGATTTCTATAGACTGGTTTACAGCAGAGAAGGTGCTTTATCTCCGCTTCGACTGGCCTGAGCACACCCTTATCAACAGTGCGATGAGCGGGGCATGAACTGGTCTCTAGCGGTATTTTATGAGGCTTTATATACTGTTCAGAGAGGAAATGATGAGGTAAAGAGAAATGAGTAAAACAGGCCGATGTTCTGGTCATGCGACCGCCTCCGGAAGACGAGCCGGGTCTATTCTTGGTCTGGGCCTGCCTAGCTGGTCAACTATCTGACCATCTCGACAGCAAACCGGGTATAATTGCCTTTCTCAGCGTGCTAGTCTGCACCCGAGCAACTCTCCATGTGCAACTCCACTCCGGAACTACTATTCCCGGTGCAGCTTGCTCATAATCACGCCATTCCACCCGCTATCTTACGGACTGAACATCCTAGCGTTCATCCACTGCTCCATCTCAACATGAATTCACTGTTTCTGCTATTTGTCTTCGTTAGGCTCTTTGGATCGCGTCGCGTCCATCACCTGACCTGCTGGTGGGTATACTCCTATACCCCTATAGTTGGTCCCTTCGCATTGTCTCAGCTAGCGCCACTTCAGCCGCTACTGTATCGACTTCAGCAGGGTCTGTCCAGCGGCTATGGTACTAGCCGCCTTCCTACACCTGCTAGCTCGCTCGTGCTAGTCCCTACTCTGCGCTAGCTCTGACCAAAGCTCCGTCTGTGCAGTCGTTGGTCCTCGTTCATAGAATCCTTGACACTCTGAGGTACTAGACCTGTATGTTTATCTCCTTGATGCGTGTATTCGCCTAGTGTAACGCTTGTAAACCGCGCCTAGCACTATAACTCGTACTACAGCCAGCAGCCGGAGCTCACTCTGACTCTTCTTTGTACCACCGAACAGAGTTCCCATTGCTAGTTTGTAGCCCTGAGAAGCTAATAATGTGCCTAATAGAAGCTAGCAGACTTCGTCATGCACTAGCTCTAAAAAACGCAAAATGTAGCTAGATGGCAGCACATTGCAAACACGCCGTTTCAGCGTTCCACGGACAATCTGGTGATTGGCTCAAGACACTGGGCGGCTTCTGTGACACAAAGTGAGCTCAATTGCAGCGGCTTTCCACACCGGCGCTTGCTCATGCACACCACACTTAGGTCTATCGAAGATAACGTGCACAAGACATGCGGGGGTTTGTTATACGATGCCGTAGTTCTCGGAACGAACCGGCGGTGTCCTCTTCTCTTTGTAGAGACACTCACTGAGCTAACAACTGAGGAACAAAAGCTGGATCTTGCGCACGAGATAATTCGCCGAACCGCAAACTTCAATCAGTGCCTCTTCCTTTATGAGCGAATTGAAAACCCGAAGCATATATGGGTTCTGGGAAAAGGCACCCTCCCGCGGACAAAGGTTCGAGAATTCTTTTCGATTTCGCGCGTGGCTGCTGATTGGTGAACTGGGGAGCAGGAAAAAGGAAACGTTCGGTGAATTTACTTTGTGGACTCCAGGATCAAGCGTTGAAGTGACATTCCTGCAGACGAAATGCCACTGAGAAAATGTTTGCTAGCGAGCTGGATGATATGTGCGCCTAGCTGCGAGAAGTTCTTTGCACGCTACATCATGATCAAGTTTAGCGAGTTTCTTCATATTAGTACTTGTAGAACATTTATTCGTTTCGTGCGCTCCTATCTTACTGCCAAGTTTTCATATGTGACGTCAATATGTATTGAGCTGTAAAGATCCAAGCTATTTGGATTATCCCAATTCCGATTTATTCCACGTGCTCAACGGTCCCAGGCGGGGTTGCGGTTGAATTTGGAGTAACTTTCCTCGTTTTCTTTCCTCCCACCTCCACTCCCAGTTGCTCTTCTTGCTCTCCTCGTCTCCCCCCTCCCTACAGAATGCTTGAGTGTGAACTAAACCCTGGAATGGTTGTGTGTTCTGTTGACATTGTGTAGATATCTGTGGAGATAACCACCTTTACAATACTACTATATGGGCCATATACTGTAAAATAATTCATGTAAAGAAAAGAAAAAAACACACACC